ATGACTTTTGTAGCTTATAATGCCATAACAAATCTTTTAAAGAAACAAATTTGTTAATTAAAAATTATGCAAAGTATACATAATTGTTTTAAAGGTGCAAAAAAAGTTAGAATTTGTATAGTAAGAATGTAAACACAATTAATTATTTTTGAGATATAAGAACGTAAATACAAACAACAAAATCTTGAGATATAGTTACAAAAACAACATACTAAACACTAAACATTAAACACTCAAGAACAAATCTTAGACCTTTTTTTTTTTTATAAAATTAGATCATAAAATTCTATTTTTCTAACTCTTAAAGTTCAAATGATGTTGGTGTAAATTCTGAAAATCGGAGCTTGAAATGTAAAATTCTGAAGGTGGAAGGGTAAATTCGGCGAAAGTCGGTCATTTTGGGGTTGTTTGTTTGTTTGCTTGCTTTTTTTTTTTTTTTTTTTTTTGTAAAAAAACCTCTTTTGACCACTTATTGTTGCGCGACGCAGCACACGCGTAACACCTTCCATCCCGCAACAATTTATTTATTTAAGTCTTTTGGCCAAAAAAACCTTTGCGCGTGTAAGGGCGACATCACTTGACTCATCTCTTCAAGCCTTTCCAAACCTAAATCTAAAAAAAAAAAAAAATTGAACATCTCCCCTAAAAAAACGCCGCACCCTCGTTTTTTCTACCTTCGACGACTGCTTCTCTCTGATCGCAACCTCCATCGTCACAGCTTCTTTCCCGGACGCAGCCTCCTCCCCCGCACAACCTCCTCCTTATCACTGTCTCCTCTCCGTCTTTTGAAATCACTCCAGTTCTTTTGAAATCAATCCTTCAATGTATATTTTTTTCAAGTGTTACTAATTTGCTTAAGATTTTTACTTTAATTTATTTTTTGAAAGATATTAATGAGAATTGTTAATCAGTGAAACACTTAGTCACCAAGAGTGTAAGTAAATCTAACAAAGTTTTTCCATGATGTGTCTTTATCAAGAACAATTCATAATAAGGAGAAACGACTTAGGAAAATGGAAGAATTTTATATTTTTTAACAATGTATTTATCTTTAGATGGCTTGTAAAAAAAGTCTTTGAGTTGGGTTTTACATATAAAATATAGTTGAATATTGAAACTATGACGACCAGAGAAGGGAGACGAGGAATGCATGTCATGGCTTCTAGTTCGACTTCGATTAGATAAGGGTTACTAGCGACTAACGAGGGAAAATAATTAGGATTGATTTAGGGTTACTAGTGACTAACGAGGGAAAACAATCAGGATTAAAATTAATTGACTTTCAATTCCGGAGCGAGTATTTAGAACCAAATAAGCTCTTATTTGGGTCACCCGGGCCGAATAACCCGAGAACTAAATAAGCATAATATAGATACCCGAAAACCGAATCGAAATTGTTTATTTGGGCCTAACTTGGTTTGGGTTTTGGTACAGTTTGGGTTTCAGGCCAAATTATCATCCCTACTTGAAAGAATGGTATCACAATGAAATGAACAAAGTAACATAATTAGATTACAATTAGATAAATAAGTTGAACTTATATTGATTCATCATTTCAAGGCTTCTTATAATATGATTTTAATCACAATGATAAAAGTTTATAGTAAAACATTTTAATAAGTGTGATAGTTTCTTATATATCTATTGAATTTTTATTTTCATTAAGTTTAAACAAGAAAAAACAAATGAATTTTTGTATTTTTATTTTTCCTATTGTTTCGACAGTGGGTTACTATATAAGTGGTTTGGAATTGTCACCTTCAAAATATACTATATTTACTTTCATGAAGAAGTAACTTAGATGACCAAATGTGGATAAAAAGAAAAGGAAAATACACTTGCATCTCCCACGGGGAATGACGTGATCAATAACCACTTATTTTGATCAAGAGAAAAAGACAAATATGCAGGTGCCTATGACCCACAGAACATAAATTTGTGGATAAAATTATATGTTGACTTCCCAGTCTTGTATGGCATTAAGTAAATACCATTACAAGTGTGAGTATAGACCCAACAAGTGTTCATGATATTAAATATCATTTTGGATAGAAATGACAGTTAATTTTTATGTAATCAACTTTCTTTAAATGTCAAACAAATGTTGCATCTTGTACACATCAAAGATCACACTTGTTGCAACGAAAATGTATAGCAACCTTAAAAAAACATGATGCCATGCATGCAACAATAGTTTTACTTAAATTTACTTGATGCAAATTTGGTTTAGAACCTGAAATCAATACCTGGGTGTTTGACAATATCATTAACTATTTACTGGAATGGCTTTGACCATTGTTGGGGGTATGAAGTCTTGTCCAACATGGAGCACGCGACAAAGGAATGGACCATCTGAGAAGGGAATGGATCTCCTGACAAGTTCATCATCCATTGTTGCCCTTGGTTCTTCTGTAATCAACAGAAGACCCAAGGTAAAGCCTCTGAAAAAAACAAAAGTTCACTTTATTAATTGTGTTAGTATCGATAAGCTAGACATGGAATTGTTTGAACAATTTTCAAAGAGTTTGGGTTGTGATACTATGGGGTACTGGTATTACATGTCTACTTGAGAGCATCTTGGTTTGTCCATGACTGCAGTTATGGACAAGAATGATTTGGCTAATTTCAAATCAATGGTCAAGGCACACAACTTTCGTGACATTAAACAACTATACCTCGACCACAAGCCAAAAAAGTGCCAATCAATTTTCCCGACTATTTGATGAACTCACCATCAAAGAGAATTGAGAAGCTTCTTCATTTGTTGATTATAGAAGAGCCAAGGGCAACAATGGATGATGGACTTGCCTACATCAACCATATGATTAACATGACGATTCCCAGAGAAAAGATTGAAGATGTAATAGACATGGAGAAGGAGAATGTGATAGCATGGCAAATGTTAGTGTAGGCAACTTTTATATGTTATAGTTAAGTCAGGTTTGTGTTTGTTAAAATATGATACATATGATATCTATTGTGGATGTAATACAACATCCAATTTTATAGTGTTTTGAAACTCTTTTTTGAATAAAGTAATACAACAGTAATGTACTTTGACTATCATGCAAATTGGCAATATTTTGTAATGGCATTGTACTTTGAAGTTTATCATTTTCTATTTGTCTCTTTTTGTAATTCTATTACTTTAAGAACAAATAAAAAACGTCTTTATATGTTAAGACCTGGAACTTAAAGGTTAAAAGAAAGATATTATGTTAGTAAGATGACTATGTTATTTCACCATTTTTAATCTTTTGTGGTCTTGATCTGTTATGGGACCACTCCTTTGAACTGTCAATAGCATTTATATCTTCCATGTTATGTTTTTATTCATTATGTTAATTGTCAATATAAAACTTAAAAAATGTAACTAAACATATTGAGATTGAGATAAAGTAGGGGTGTATTTGTCATAATTGTATCTTTAATAATCTATACGTTATTGTGGTGTTAGGGACATGACAAACAAGGTGAGTTCCAAGAAAAATAGGATATCCTTCATGGGTGTGATGTAATGGTGGTTTTTGGTGATGATTGGCCAATATTCAACCCGAATTGATTTTCATTTGAATTGGTTACTAGAGTTATTTGAATATTTGTTTTGGGTCCAAGGGTAGTTTGGTATTTTCTGGTTTTTTGATTTTCATTTTAATTGGTGTAGTTACTAGAGTTATTTGATTCTGTTTATAGTCCAAGGGCAGTTTGGTTTTTTTTCGGGTTATTTGAATTTCATTTGAGTTTTTTTTTTTAATTAATAGAGTTATTTGATTATCTATTTTGGGTCCAAGGATAGTTTGGTCTTTTTTGGTTATTTGATTTTCATTTGAATTGGTGTAGTTACTAGACTTATTTGATTTTCTGTTTTGAGTCCAAGGGTAGTTTGGGTTTTTGAGTTATTTAAGTTTCATAACATATCTAAACAGATTAAAAGTGAGTTGAAGAAAAGGTATTTTTTGTCATTTGTTTTTATTTCCAAATTTGATGTTCTAATAAATGAGTTTGAAGAAATGTATACGTATTTTGACTTATTGTTTGTATTTTTGCATCATATTAGATTGAAAATACATTTAAAGCAATGAGTTCAGGGTATTCAAAGATACATGCATGTGTCAACAACTATACACTATATAGGAATGAATATGCAGACACGACAGTGTGTCCTAGTTGTGGTAAATCAAGATGGAAGGTGGATGAAGAAAAAAAATAAAGTTTACGAGAATATTCCTGCAAAAGTCTTGTGGTACTTTCCAGTTATTCTACGAATGAAACGACTATTTTATTCAAAGACTACTGCAAAAGATTTAACATGTCACGCAACCGATAGAAATGTAGATATCGACATTTTACGTCACCTAACAGATTCACCACTATGGGCTGCCATAGATGAGAATTTTTCTAACTTTTCTAGCGAACCAATAAATTTGCGACTAGGCATTTCGGGCTGATAGGGTTGATGTGAATAGAGGAAATAGGAATCATAAAGTATGACCTATTTTAACTGTAATTTACAACCTTCCACCATGGTTGTGTATAAAGAGAAAGTATTTCATGCTTTCGTTATTGATATCAAGAACACTACGAAACGATATTGATGTGTTCCTAGCACCTTTGGTTGATGATCTACATATATTATTTGATATTAGAGTTGAAACATATGATGCATATACACAAGAAAAGGTTTAATTTACATGCAGTTGTGTTATGAACGATTAATGATTACTCTGCTCTTGGTACATTATGTGGGTGTCTTTACAGTAGGTTCAAAGTTTGTGTTGTGTGTGGCAAACAAACACACTTTATTAGACTCCTTGAATCAAATAAGCAAAGTTATGACGGTCACAGGCGATATCTACCATACGAGCACCCGTTCAGAAGACAAAACAAGGTGTTCAATGGAAAACAAGAGTTATCACCATCTTCAATACCTATGACTTGTGAGGAAATATATAACAAGGTCAAATTTATAATTAATAAATGCGAAAAAGTATCTAAGGGCAATGAATCAGAATTCCAACAAGCTTCCAACAAGCTTCTATCGGAAGAGGTGGGAAGATAACAAAAAAGAGAAAATCAATGCAAGTGGGTGCTTTAGATGTTAGCTGGTATACCAAAAGATATGTATAGACGGCTTAGGTACTGGCAACACAATTTGATTCTATAATGTTTAGATTTTATGTACATTACAAAGAATGTGAGAGAGAGTCTAGTTGGAGCAATGTTGAACGTTCCTAGGAAGACGAACGATGGTTACAAAGGTTGATTGGATTTGGTGTATTATGGGTAAATCCAAAGTTGCATCCTAAGGCCTTCTGGTATGCCAACGACAAAGAGGCTTGTGGTCTACATGGCCACAAGCATTGTTCGTGCCCACCATCTCGGCCTACCGTGGTTGGGCATTTTTGTGGTGGTTTGTGGTGCGGAAGACGAACGAGAACACCCAATCAGGGCTTCTTCTTCTCTCAGCTCTTCTTCTTCTTCTTCTTCTTCTCCTTCTCCATTTCTCTCTCTCTCTCTCTCTCTCTCTCTCTCTCTCTCTCTCTCTTTGTTCTTCTGTTCGTGGTCGTGGAGGGTACTCCATGGCTTTGTGGTGGGTGGTGGTAATCGATCTGGAAACTCTCCACGACCGTTGTCGTGGAGAGTATAGCAGATGGCCTTAGAAAGACGGGAACAACACCACAATCCCCCAGCAGGTTGCATATTGACAAAAGAAAAAAATGTGGTGTTTAAAATAAAAATACGAAAAAATATAATATTTTATTTGTTTGCTATATAAAGTAAAAGCTAAAAACTAAAAAAATTACCAAGTTGGGTTGATGATTGTTAATCCTATCGTGACACTATAATATCATGTTCTATAGTTTTTTAAGGACGAAATATTTTATTTTAAGTAGAGAACGAAAGAAAAAGACAACAAAATATCTTCTCAAGTTTCATTCAAAATGAAAAGAAAACGAAAAAAGGAAAATAACTTTTTTTCCTTTTATTTTATTTTAAGTAGAGACCAAAAGAAAAAGACAATGAAATATCTTCTCAAGTTTCATTCAAAATGAAAAGAAAACAAAAAAAAAAGAAAATAATCTTTTTTCCTTGAAATATTTCCTTATAAGTAGTAAAATAAAAAACAAATAAATAAAAATCTTCTTTTTATTTGTTTGACTTTACTTTTGTTTACTTTGGAGAAGAGATCCATCTCCCAAAAAACTCACCTGCTCTCTTGATCTCTACATTGTCTGACGCTCTTCCGTCTCTGATCTCACCGAATCTCGCCACTGGCCGATGTTCCGTGCCAGTGATCTTGCTGTCACCGTCTCTCTCGCTGTATTTCTCTCCTACTCTCACTCTCCCCGGTTTTCAACAATCAATTGACAAAACAAAGACATATCTGGGGACACCCAAAAAAAAAAAAACTACAGAATTCTTCTTACCAATGTCACCAAAACAACCTAATATTCTCCCTAAAATCTATCTTTACTGAATTAAACTCATAAACCAATGTCAATTGAAGTATTTTTTACCACAACAAGCAAATATTTTGAGCAGGGAAACCCTAGAAAATGAACCGACAAATTGATGTTAAACCTCTGCAACACTCTGTTTTTTCTGAAATAGATTTAAGTCTTGACCAAAAGAACTCAAGGTTATGTAGGTATTTCCTTTTTAAAGCTTCACTAAGATTATGCAATGTATACAGAGCTAAATTTTCATATGTTATGTTGTTAGGGTTCATTTTCAATTTGTGGTTAAGTTAAAATGTTTTGTAACTAGTAATTATTTCTGTAAGGGTTTAAGTTAGAGTTTGTTGAAGACCAATATGCTTAAGTTAAAATGTTTTTTTTTTCTTTGTGCTTTTGATCTAGTTAATTGGAATTTATCCTTCTCTAATTTTTTTTTTTCTTCTTTAACAGGTTCACCTGCTACCACTGCTCCCAACGCTATGGAGAATCTCCCAGGTGAAGTTTTATCAGACATATTCATATGGTTATTGGCCAAACAACTTGCTCAAATGAGATGGTCTGTAAATCTTGGAATGCTCTCTTGTATGAATCATCCTTTATAAAATCTCACCTCCATCATTCTACCCATAACAACTTGATCTATTCATAAGACGCCACTCTTGTTCACCTGATATCAAACTCACTCGTTTTTACAAACTTCCGGTTAATACCCAATTTGAAAGCAGTAGTTACACTGTCATCGGATCTGTGAATGGCTTAATATGCTTTTACTACAAATCATACAATGATGATTATCTCATTCATATTTGGAACCCTTCTGTGTCCGCTGTGTTAACTCTCCCCCCATCTTCAGCGTCCACCCCTATATCAAAAAAAATCTATTTAAGATTTGGATTTGATCCCAAAACCGATGATTACAAAGTTGTTAAGTTTACAAGCCTTTTCCAACCATCCAACGAGGTAGCGAAAGGTGAGGTTTATAGCATGAGAAAGAGTTCCTGGGAGTTGATAAGTCAAAGGCTTCCGCCGTATGTCATTTCCAATCAAAACAAAGTTGATGTAGATGACATTGACAGCTATCTTCATTGGCTTTCTTATATTGATAAGGAGATGAACGCATGTATAATAGTCCCATTTGATTTGGGTGCAGAGACATTTTGTGAGATCCCTCTTCCAGATTCTACACTAGATAACACTCGTTGGTATAATGTTGTAGGAGTTTTGTTTGGAAAACTTTGTGTGATGTCAAGAGGCAAAGGTGGTAAATGTGAGGTGTGGGTGATGGAGGAGTATAGGGTAGCAGCATCATGGGTGAAACGCCATGTCTTTTCTCATTTGAGTGGTGGTATAATCCCATATGGAATCACATTACACAATGAGTTTCTTCTTATAGTTGATGGTGGTTTTTGTTTGTATGATCCAATTTCAGCCAAAAATAAAACCTTTGAGATTAAGGGTAGAATACACATTACTAAAGTTGTGGAGTATATTGACAGTCTTGTTTGGGTAGCACCTGCCGAGCATGCGCTGTCAAAAGGGCATCTCTCGGTTTCTAATTGGAAAATGTATCGGTTATTAAAAGGACTACAAAAGGCAACAAAGGGCATCTCTCAATTTTTATTTTGCAAAGGCATCAATTGTTAAAAGGGGTACAAAAGGCGACACATGAGCTTTACTACTATGTGTATATATATATATATATATATATATATATATATTGTTATTAGTAACTAGTCTGCATTGCTGTGTTGGTGACTGGATTGTCATCTTTGGTTCCATACATTTCCAAAATTTCTATTGTCTGTTTCTGTTATGTAACAAGGATATTTTCCACCAATACATTTTCCCTTAACTTAGTAGTTGGTCAAAACCAGTAATTTTCAAATATAATTTTTGGTTTTTCTATCTTATGACTTGAAGTGTTTTGTGGGTTTTATGGTTTGATGCCATGGTTAATCCAACTATAGCTTGGGCTGGTTGCCTGAGAAATCTGGTTGTAAGCTATGGTTACAAGAAAAAAAGTGGGTGGATCTGTAGATTCGATATTTCGAGATTTTAATGCATTAGGTCGTATAATATGTTGAAATGTTGAACGTTTTATGATGAGCTTGTTTCAAATAAGGGAAGTAGAATAAAGGATAAATTAATGCATAATGTCTATGAGACCCCTTATACCCTTCTCTTGAATGGTGAAAGAAATTATAGAGGCGAGAGTGGACAAAGGAGTATGGGGTTGCTGAATTATTCCATTTGGATTTGCATTACACAATAAGTTTATGTTTGAAACATATAAAAGTCTGTCTAGCTTTGTATGATCCAGTTGCAAAAGTTAAATTATTCAACTTTTTCAGCATCTGTCGTGTATGGTGACAGTTTTGTTTAGGTTGCACCCACTAAGAATGTATCAGCTTTTTTAGCATCCATTGGAAAGTGAATGTTCAAAAGGAGCAAACGATATTATAATTGCACATTTGTTACTATGCTAACATGAATTGAGGATTAAGCTCTTAGTTTCTAAATCACACACAGTGTTTGCTGCCTTTCTTACTCTGTTTGACTACGAAACCAGGCCTGTTTTTGTATTTGATTTGATTGTTAATTTATGTGAGTTTTTGGTTGATTTTGATTTTTTTTAGAATTGTCTTTCTTTTTGTTTGTTCATCTGTTAGATATGAGGTATTCTAAGAAGGGTAAAAACAGATGAATTTCTTTTTTCTTTCATGAAAGGATGATTTCACCAAACTAATCAGGAACAATATTTATAGCTGATGTGGAGTGTCTCAGAGTTTTCTTATTAAACCACAACCTAACATCTTCTTAACTACTGCAGAGCTTTAAGTTAAAGAGTTACGGCTGAACGAAGAACTAAAATGTGAGGACGCAAAAGTCTCACATTTAAAAAAAAAATTTAGCACAAATGTGCAGCTCTAAATAAGATCAAATTTATAGAAAAATGAAAGTAAATTACAGTAATAGTCCATGTGGTTTAAAAAACATTCCAAGTTCGATCTTTTTTTGAAATATTCCCTATATCGTCCCTAAATTTGCATTTTGTTATAATTCATAAATACTTTCTTTAACTATGGTCTTTCACTTTGTTTAACCCTAAGAGCAAGGAAGAATTTGTTCCACCTCTCAAATCCCAGTTTTAATGTCCCTGCTGAAGTCTTCATAGTCTGTACAAGATCAGCATCTACCGATACCCCACCTTCAGCAATTTCTTTCACTTTTCACTACAATCATCACATACACCTCCTGCATTAATAAGAAAAATATTGAAAATACATCTAGTTTGTTAATTATTTATAAAAATATTATAAATTAGCTTTGATTTCATGAGAATATAAATGCTTGTTTGTCATATTCAATTCACATTCTGTAAAATGCTGTGTCCACATGATACTAAGGAATACAATTCTGTAATTGACTTGGGCATAAACCAGTTATTTTGATCAAGAGAAAAAACAAAAATAGCCTAGGACCACAAAAGAATACAATTCTGTCATGGACTTCCAAGTCTTCCATGGCTTTATAAATCAACCAGTTCCTTCAACATAGCAACCATCACTACTTCTTAACAACTCATCTTCCAACTTTACTTTGTTTTTCCCAGTCTCTAAACTGTGTTAGGGTTGACAATGGGGAATGCGAGGGGTTTGGGGCACCTTCTGATTTTTTTATGTGCGTTCTTGTTTGCAGGAGGTACATATACTTGTTTGGGTGATGGAAATACGAGTGTCATTTGCTCTGAGCAAGAGCGACTTGCTCTTCTCAAGTTTAAAGACAGTGTCAGAGATCCTTCTGGAATGTTGTCATCATGGGTGGGCAATGACTGTTGCATGTGGAAAGGAATTTACTGTGAGGAAACTGTCCAAAGCCTTCATCTTGGAGGCTGCTTCTTAAGTGGTAATGCAGTGAACTCTTCTTTGGTAGAGTTGAGGCATCTCAAACACTTGGAATTGAGTGGGAATGTTTTTGAAGGAAGTCAGATCCCAAAGTTCATTGGATCCTTGAAGCAGCTGACCTACCTTAACCTCTCTGGTTTTGAAGGTATTATTCCTCCTCACATTGGCAATCTTTCTAATTTAAAGGTTCTTGATATCAGTCGGAATGAAGGAAGGCTGATGGCAGATGACATGGCATGGGCTTCTGGCCTATCGTCACTTGAGCATCTCGACTTGAGTTCAGTAGATCTTCACGGAGCACAAAACATTGACACGCTGTTTTACATGCTTCCTTTGTTAAAAGAGTTAAGTTTGTCTGATTGTGGACTCTCAGATGCTGACCTTGGTCTTTTTGTTAATTCGAGTAGAATACTTCCCAACATCAGACACTTGGATCTTGGTCACAATCATTTCCAAGGTCCACTCCCTGGTTTTCTTCAAAACATGTCATCCCTAACATTCCTTGATCTTTCATACTTTGATCTTAGTTTGGCATGGAATTTTGCAAACTTGCTAAGCATGATCCCTTCTCTATCTGAGCTTCATTTGTCAGGTTGCAGGCTCGATAAGACTCAACTTTCTTCCCCTCATCTTAATCTCAGTACACTTTCCAACATTCGACACCTGGTTCTCAGTGAAAACTCAATTGAAGGTGTATTCCCATCTGTTTTCACAAACATGACTTCCCTAAGAGTCCTTGACCTCTCAAGAAACATGTTGAATTCATCGGTTCCTATTATTCCTAACCTTCTAGATCTTGATCTTTCCGTTAACCGGTTTAAGCAGATTGGGGATGTTGGAATATGGAAACAGTGTCACGTGAATCGATTGCATGCATCAGATAATTATTTTGAAATAGAAATGAACGACTCTCCAAAAAATGATTCAGAATGCTCCCAATATGCCTTGGAATGGTTGGATTTGCGCAGGTGTTCAATTGGTAGTATTCCAGAACAACTTGGAAGACTGACCAATTTAAGATGGATAGATCTATCTCTCAGCAAATTGACAGGCCCAATTCCCGAATCTCTTGGAAAATTAAGATCTTTAGAAGTATTAGATCTATCTCTTAACCAGTTAACTGGTCCCCTTCCTGTCCTCCTCGGGAATATTTCCGAACTTGACCTTTCTTTTAATCAATTGAATGGTTCAATTCCAGAATCCTTTGGAAATCTGGCAGCTTTAACGTATATGGATCTAAGTTCCAATCAGTTAACGGGCCCCATCCCAGCATCTCTAGGAAGACTTGTCTCATTACATTCAGTTTCAGTGTCTTCAAATTTGTTAAATGGGACTATTCCGATTTCAATTGGGCAACTTGGTAAACTTCATTCTCTAGATTTCTCTAATAATTCTTTAGAAGGAATAGTTTCTGAAGCTCATTTTAACCTTTCAATGTTGAAGTACTTGGATACTTCTTCTAACACCAAGCTGACATTCAATGTTTCACACAAGTGGATACCTCCATTTCAACTGTTGTTTCTTCGACTTAGTTCTTGCAACATCGCGAATGGATTTCCACATTGGCTTCGAAGTCAAAGGAACCTTTATGAGTTGGCATTGTCCAATGCTTCGATTTCTGGGCTGCTGCCCAGATGGTTGCGGACGATGCCCGTTATTCCTTCCTTAGATCTCTCTCACAACAAACTCAACGGACCTTTGACAAACCTTCCTTATGGGTATGTTCCATCATTATCTCTGGAATGTAACATTTTCAATGATTCAATTCTAAGGAAAAGTTTGGATTTTCTTGATGTTTCTAGAAATAGGTTAACCGGTAAAATTCCCAAGTGTCTTGAGAGTTTGCAAAGGTTGTATAATATACTTGGCTCAAATAATCAGGTGGCTGGTGTCATACCAAGTTTTAAAGCTCTTAATTTATTTCGTCGGTTAAAATTGAATGACAATAACTTTGTTGGTGAACTTCCTCGAGAATTGGGGAATTTACGAGGCTTGAGGATATTAGATTTGGGTGGTAATAAATTGTCTGGCAACATACCAGAATTGGTCATAGAAGATCTTAAAAGTTTGGTAGTTTTGAGGTTACACAAAAATAACTTCACTGGAAGAATTCCCCGGTCATTGTGCAAAGCTTCAAATCTACAAATTTTGGATGTCGCAAATAACAACTTAAAGGGACACATCCCTCGTTGTCTAGGAGAGCTGAATGCCATGGTTAATAATAGTGGATTTCAGCAGATTGCTGGCTCTGTCAACGATTATGAGAATGTGGATCAGGTCATGAAGGGTGTTGATCTTGAGTACACAAGAACTTGGGATATGGTGTATAACATGGACCTTTCAAGCAATCAACTTGTTGGAGAAATACCTGTTGAGCTAACTACACTTTTCATGTTGGTGGGTCTCAATTTATCGCATAATCATCTCAGTGGGTTCATTCCAGACAACATTGGAAACATGTCAGCATTAAATTCTCTTGATTTATCTGGAAATGAGTTGATTGGGTTGATCCCTCCAAGCATGGCAGCTTTGACCTTTTTGAGCTATTTGAATTTGTCACACAACCACCTGTCCGGACTAATTCCAACGGGAAATCAATTGCAGACCTTGACTGATCCATCAGTATATGAAGGTAACAAAGATCTATGTGGACCTCCATTGCCTAAGACTTGCCCAAATTACAAAGATTTAACAACAACCAAGAAGAATTTAGAAGCAGGTGATGAGAAGACCAATGTATGGTTGTTTTATGTGGACATAATTTGTGGATTTACAGTAGGGTTTTGGGGTGTAATTGGAGTTTTTCTGTTCAAGAAGCAGTGGAGACAAAAGCTTTTCATGTTTGCTGAGGAAACCATGGAAAAAATATATGCTGTAGTCGTGGTAAGAGTTAACAAGATCAGGAGAGGAAGAGAAGCCACGTAGGTCCTTTGGAATCAATGGTAGCTTTGCTTTGTAATGCCGGTAGATATTGTGCTTAATTTGGATTTTGTTTGTATAGTATCTATGTTGTTCACTTGTTAGAAGGCGTCCATTGTGAAATATTTGGGTAAATTTGGTATTCATACAAGATCAAGTAGTTAGATAATTAGATTGCTATGGAATTGAATTTCTTTAAAACTAGAAAAAAAAAATCAATGAGAATCACACCGTGTGTTATTGATTACTAGAAACGATTACATACGAACTCTATATAAAGAGTTTAATATTTACATTTGAATACCATATACTTATTATAAATGTAACTACATAGTCTAACATTCCCCCACAGGTTGAGGGCGGGGAACAACCTGCAACTTGGATCGTAAAAACTAAAATCTCTGAGTAGATAAAGGCTTTGTAAAGACATCTGCGATCTACGATCTGATCATTTGTAGATATGAACTTGACATGTAGTTGACCTCTTGCTACTTCTTTACGAACAAAGTGGAAATCTACTTCGACATGTTTAGTATGAGCATGGAACACATGATTGATTGATAGATATGTGGCTCCTATATTGTCACACCAAAGAGTAGGAGGAGATGGAATCGATATGCCAAGTTCACACAAGAGGGATTTTAACCAAATTAGTTCCGCAACGGTATCAACAAGGGCTTTGTACTCAGATTCAGTTGAAAACCTTGAAACTGTCTTTTGTTTACGAGCCTTTTGTTTACAAGCAATACAGGAGGCAAGATTAGATCCCAAATATATGGAAAATCCCCCTGTGGATCGTTTGTCTATACCAGACAACCAGCCCAATCAGAGTCAAAGTAAGCCTGAACCGGTGAGGATGCAGAATCTTGCCAAAGAGCATTTGTAAATGCCTATAGTTGTTTACCGGATTGATGAGGAATCAAGAGACCGAGATAGGTTGTGCCTTTTAAGTAACACAAAATACGTTCAACAGTAGCCCAATGATTTTCTGTTGGTGCATGCATGAACTAACAAACTCGGTTCACAGCAAAAGCAATATTCGGGCGTGATAAAGTAGCATACTGCAAAGCACCAACAGTTTGGCATACATTGTTGGATCCGAAAGAGGTGGGCTATCATCAATATGTAAGAGTTTAGAGGAACTCATTGGAGAGCATGCTGGTTTGCAATCACAGAGCCCAGACCGCTGAAGTATCTCGAGGACATATTTTTGTTGAGATACCACAATATTCTTCTTGTCAGGAACAACCTCAATTTGCAAAAAATAGTGAAGAATGAAAAGGGAAGGATCGATTTTGGATCCTGAAAAACCAAGTTGAGTTAGGGTCGTGGATAGGGCCGGCCCAAGCCCAGGGCGAGTCGGGCCATGGCCCAGGGCAACAATTTTTGTGGGGGGCAGCGAGTTAATTGGACCTAACGTTATGTATATTGTTATATTGGGCCTCATTTTATGTGGTTCCATAATCTCACTGTAAAGAGAATGAGGAAACACGATTCATGACTCATAGGTGTCAAAATTAAATTATTCTACTAGAATAAATAAATGCACACCTAATTAGTGCATCAAACGACGAGATGGGAGAAGATGAGGAGACGGGCATGCAAATTGCTATTATTTTCTCATAATTGTTCTTTTAAATTTCTCCTAAATCCTAATTCATTATCCCAATCTGATTCGTGTTCTTTGTTCACCGGTTCTCCTAAATCTTAATTCCTAAGTGCTAAAGTTCTTGAAGAGACTCTTGTTTCTCATATATTTTCGTTCGTGCTTTGTTGTAAGCCCTAATTCAATATTCTCACTACTAGAAAAACAGCCTTTTACGACGCTCATTGCGCGTCGTAAAAGGCTCAGACAACGCGCAAATGCGCGTCAAGGAAGGCCATGTCATAAAGAGAGACGACACGCTTTTGCGCGTCGTCTATAGACGACGCGCATTTACGACGCTCATTTACGACGCGCGTTTACGACACGCAATGCGTATCCAGGAACCCTGTCATAACGGAAGATGACACGCATTCGCGTGTCGTTACCTTACGACGCGCGTGTTAATGACACGCAATGCGTATCAAGAAAACACCTGTTAAGAAAGGCCATGTCATAAATGAAGATGACATACATTTTTGCGTATCATAATTTTAAATGTTTAAAAAAATATATATTATTTATAGATTTACTTATTTTCAAATTAAATTTGTATTTAATGTTTCATAATAGAAAATAAAATATGGTATACAAAAAATAGAATCCATTGCATAAATTTAATGTCATACTAAAAATAGAATCCATTGTATAAATTTAATGTCATACAAAAAATAGAATCTATAGAAAAAACCAATTAGTCCAACTATAGGCAAATTTCTAGCTTTTAATGCAGTTCCACTTGGTTGATATTCAATTCCATCAACTACCCCTAGCCATAGCAAGCACAGAATCACAGTTGCTAATGTTACAACTCCAAAAGCTGCTCAATAAAACCTCTGGAATTAGTCCTTTTATCTTAGCCAAGGGTATAAAAAGAAAATTACTGAAGGATATAGAAATTAGAACCTGAAATATAAGAGAGTAAACTGAGGTTTCTCAGCCAAACTGTGGAAGCAATCCCTTCTCAGATCTTTAAATGCATCCTAATAGAATACAATGAAGTTACTATTCTAAGATTGCATCATTTACCTTAATCTATGACATTATTAATGTGAAAGAAAAACATTTTTGTTATAAAGAAAAGTCAAAAAGATTTTTTTTGTTGATAAATAACAGTCTATAGGAATCAAAGAGCATACTACACAGAAGGGTGTTGGTTCCTTTTATTGAACACCATGGGATTCACCACTTGTGCCCCAGTAGTGCAACCTATTTTCACATTGGGAGTGAAACCAGGAAAAAATATGTAATCTTCTTATTTGTGACTGTTTTAGGGTTCTAAATCACAGATCTTTAGTTTACAGTCAGAATTAGCAAGAATGTTTTTTTGTTTTAAATCTCAATGAAACACATTTGCTGCACACATGACAAACAATCAAACACAAAAGTATGCATATCTGATGCATATATTTGCACATTCATACAAGTATTTGTAGGTATCAGTCACAATACCACAAGAAAATATATCTTATCAAAAGTATGCCCAATTGATGACATATCAACCATACAAAATTTATCAATTCTAAGGAATTTGAACGTAAATCAGATGAGAAGAAAAAACCTGGAAGAGATTGTTGAGAGAGTATAAGAGGCAAAATTGTAAATTCTGTTTTTCATGAGGCTGTGCAATTGAGCTTTTATCTTCATATCAAGTACAAAAAAAAAGTTAAAAAGATGTTATTTAGTGTGTCAAAGAAACTTGCATGTTGTAGTGTATTACCTTCCTCTTTGCAAATAGTTTCAGTAATTCAACACTTGTCATAACTGAAAGATCTTTGTCCTCTCCAACCTAGAGCCAGAAGAAAAAAATATATAAATATACAAATATAATTTTATCGTGTTTCAAAACACAATTAAATGAATTTATGTATAATAATAATAATAATAATAATAATAATAATAATAATAATAATAATAAGAAAGATCAACCACCTCATATAAGTGTGCTAACCGAAGAAGAATTTTTCCATCTTCCAGCTCCTTAATTAAGAAAATAAAGTTTTTTCTCAAGCTTTGTAGGCTATTTTCAAAGATTCTAATGAAGAAGGAGGGCATTTACGTCTTTTTACATGGTTTACCTGGAGTGTTAACAATGCTACGTTATCAGGGAGACTGTAGGAGGAATCCATTCCTGAAAATGTGGACACCTGGAAATTTGTCCCTGTTTTTTCGTCCTGTAAACTATAATAAAATTAATTGATAAGTAACATTTTTTATGGATTTTTAAAGAAACATTTAACACAAAAAATATTCAATCACCTGCTCAGTGAACGCCAAAAGAAGTGGAGAGTATATTTCTTGACCATAGGATCGGCGCCACTTGGCACCCTCTCCAATTTGACTTATAGAAAATACTTACAGTTAATCCTCTACAATCGTTACCAACGCAAACTGTTTCATTAAGCGCCTCTGCAACACCTTTTCCATCATCATAAAGCAATCTCCTAAAAAAGAGATTATTCGTGTTTATATATATTATGGCTGATTTAATTTTTTTGATTGTTGATTTTGATGAAAATGCGAATGGAAAGAATAGACATACCTATGAAGCATTAACTCCAATTTCCCATCAACAATGCTGGATCCACCTACGGATCTATCTACTAAAAACGAGAGCTCACTAGTTTCGTCTTTTAGGTAAATTCCAAGATTGACCTTTAGAAATAACACAAGTTTGTGAAACGTTTCTTTAAAATTTTTCCATTAATGGAGCATTGAATATGAATAGCAAAGGGCATGTTGATTCAAAATGACAGTTATCTTGATAATGGATATTGAAAAAAGAAAACATACAGGATAATAATTTCCAGCAATAGGTTGATTCACTTCAAGATTCCAATCCTCTCTATAGTCTCGAATCTGCCACAAAAAAATATAATTTTGATCACATTTTCTTTAAATACCTACTTAGATGTTTAATGGGAGTAATACCCTTTGAAGAAAATCTCTCCCATTAGAATCTATGTAAAATGTTTTATTGCTCTTCATGGTGGTTGTGATCTGAGTTACAATTTCTTTCCCAACTCCATCATCAAAAGGTTTGGGGCCCACCTGAAAAACTTGAGATTATCAGTAATGAACAACAATTAGACAAGTAAAGAAAATGAACTTACTGTAAATTCCACTTCAGCATGCTCCTTATTCTTGAACACTCTAGTGATCTGGACAGAAGGGTAAAATGGTCATTTCAGACAGTTCAATTAGTCCAACAAGGAAAAAAATGAGTTCATATAGCACTACTTTATCCATTACCTGGTAAATACATGGATTTATTTTCTGATGTACTTCATCATATATTGGCCCATTCAAGACCTTTATGGGAGTCTGTAATTTCAATGAAGAATATTAAAATTTAAATCTGGCTATAAAGTATAAACTATAAGACATATAGATATATCAGAAGAAATTATATAATATATACCTGCTCCTGTGTATCAATAGAATATGTACCATTTGGACGAAAAATATATGCTCCAGATGCCTAAATTAAACAAGTTAGGAGCTCAATTGTTAATATAAAAAACTTGTACCAATAACTGTATTTACAAAATAAAAAAATAAAAATAATAAATGAGATAAGGAAAATAAAGTTACCTGCTCTCCTGTAGTTCCATCAAATCCAGCATAAAAGTTGTATGATTGCTTCACAGAGGCAGTGATCTTTCATAAACCAAAATAACACAGGTTAGTGCACATTAAAAGAATAAATAACAATACTAATAATAATACATAACTTAACTTACTATATTTTATATAACATCAAAAAATAGGTTCATTTTTGCTAATTTGGGTGATAAACTATTTTATTTTCCAATTAGGTCATTAGCAAAAATAAGATAGTTGGTTGCTATATTATACAAAAAAAATGAAAGGTAAATATACATACAGAGCTTCGACTGTTAACATATTGAGAAACATTTCCTTCACTTCCAGAATAGATTAACTTCAAATTTCCTGTTCCTACTTCTATCCCATCTTTTCCTGTTTTAGTATGCTTGTAAAATGCTTCATTTACAGAATTCCATGCTGCAAAAAATAAATTATATCACTAGATAAATTCTATTCAAAATTCGAAAATCAATGTATATTATGTAAAATATTGTTAATTTTATTTTTACCTGGCTTTTTTGTGCTTGAAACGACGTATGTGGTAAATCCCAGAGGTGGAACAGATGCTGTAAATGCAAGTTAATACTTGGAAATTGAGCTTGGTGATTTGCCTGTATATGTAGTGGTGTAGTAGTTTCTAAGGGTAATAGCGTCATTTACTATGGGGAGAAGTTGATACTCTACTTCTTTTCCATTCAAGTCATGCACAGCAATATTCTCGCTCACAACCTGTTAGATATTCACATATAATACGCATAATATATTATTATTGTTATTATTCTCCCAAAAAAAGTGATTAAGATGCAACCAAAAGTTCAAAACCTAAAATGATACTCACTGGAAGTCTTATAACATCAGATCTCTTCCACCCTCGGGAATTGTAGACAACAACCACCTACAATATAAAAATCAATATTCCATATTTCCATTTCACATTTATGTAGATATATAGAATATAATAGTTTTTGTTGACTTTCATGAAGAAGATAAAAATATAAAGCATCTCATTACCAATTTTTTGCCAGATGATAGATTCGTTTCAGTTGGAGAGCAATAGCTTATGACAATGATCTTGTAGTTGGCTTTATCTTTGGGGACACCCCACTCTCTGTAAGGTAAATGTCTTCCGTCATTAAGTTGGATTCGAGGTGAAGTAATAGGAGGTCCACCAGGTGATCCACAAACCCTAGGAGGTGGTGGTTTGATTCGTGTATAAATCCATCCTAGAAAAACACCGACCACAGCAATTGCTACCTTTGCAATCATTGCTACATAGAAGAAGAAGAAGAAGAAAACACTGTAAGAACATGTAAGTATGGGATTGAGCTATTCCAAGAAATTTAATTTGGCTATGTTGAATATATTTGATTTTCTGATAGAATTCTAAGTTTTACAGAGGGATGTGGGTTCTGTAACTACAAACATGTTTTTGAACTTTTGATTCCTCTTTCTTATAATTTTTGGAAACTCGTATCAACAACTAATTGCAGATCGGGTTTACAGAAAGGATTAAAATACCTGGAAAAAAGTACAGAGCATGAGAAGGAAACAACCAAGAACGCTTGCTTTCCAACGCCATCATCTTCTTGTGTTGTCACATAATGCTATTAGGGTTTCATCTGCAATTTATTCTTAAACAACTTCTACTTCCTTAAATTTATTCAAATCAAAGTTATTAGGTGTGGGCTATGAGGCAAGAAGAGGCGGTGAGGGGCGGAGATGGTGGAGATGGGTGAGGGGCGGAGATGAACGAGGGGATATGTGAGATAACTGATGGAAACAAGGTAGAAGAGAAGCTCATGAGTAGTTGTAGTAGGTGGAATAATGTAGAGGGGAAGCAGATTCGGGACACAGTCGCCGGTACTGATGAGTCTCAATGGTCGGCGATTAGAGGTGAGCCTGCAGTTGCCAACGAGGTGAGGTGAGAGAGAGCAAGGTAAGGAGACGCTAATCAAGTTGTCGATTACAAAGTGATCGTGTGGAAGGAGTGGTGTGTAGAATCTACATATGAAGGCACTGAAGAAGGCCGATGGCTGAGGAAGACGATGAAAAAGATGCAACGTTGGTGGAGGGTCAACAATGGAAGAGGTTCGACGACCAGGAAAGAGCTCAAAGTGGTGGTCGGAGTGTGAGGGGAGTAGTTAGCGGTCGATGTGGGGAGCCAGGGATGGGAAAGAAGGATCACCGATTAGGGTAAAGAGGGAAGCGAAAGCGGGTTTTTCTAATTTTGGGGTTTTTCTAATTTTGGGGTTTTTCTTTTTCCCGCTTGTAACTAAAGAGCGCGTTTCATTAAAAATTATAAAGCGGCATGTTTAGATGACGCGCACATTTAATAATAAGTGCCCTCCGTGTTTTTTTTTTCTAACACTAGTTTTACGGCACGCCAAAATATGCGTCTTAAATTCTTAAAATTTCTAGAAAGCTGACATAATTTTTAGGTCACATGGTTTTGTGTATTATAAATCACATCGTGTCATAAATTGCGCGTCGTTAAAGGTCTGTTTTCTAGTAGTGTCTATAGTTTCGTTTGTATTATTGGACATACTTTCTAGTTTCCTTCTACTATTTTTTTCTTGTTTATTTTTGTATTTTAAATATATATCGACGGTTTTACTTGAGAATTTGTATAGCTTTGATTTCAGGGAAGTTTCTCTTTCATTAGTAGTTGAAATGTTGAAAAATCAAGTTTTTTTCCAAGTTGTGTATGTATCTATAGTCTAATTTTTTGTGTGAATATTATAAACTATGATTTTCTTAACAGAAAGAGACAATTGAGGATTCTGTTGAATGTAGAGTTAGTTTACTAGTTTAATTTCTTATCAGACTTTACCTTTTGGTTGTGTTCGGATCCGATATTTATGTTTATGACTTTAACTTTTTGACGATTTCCATGTGTTCGATGAAAGTACTAAGTGAAATGTATGGTAAAGTTCGTGGAGTAAAGTGGTTACCCATGGGCCTCAATGCTCTTTATCATATTTATAAAAACAATTTATTTTAATAGTAAAGAATTGAAAAATATATGTTTGTGAAAAAGAAGCAGATTGTTTTGAGAAAAAGATTTGGGGTACAAAAAGATTTGGGGTAGGCCCTCTACATGAACTATATCAAGTTAAGATATGCAAGTCAATATTTGTTTTTCATTGATTTTTCCATTAACTTATTACCTAAAGGTATTCGTAAAGTTTGCAGAAAATTTGATGTAGATTTGTTTCTAGTCGTTGTAAACTTATTGAATATAAGCTAACTTGTTTCGTTGACTTATCTTTATTTCCGAGTGTTAAGTTCTTGAAAGATCTGACTTAAATATATTTTTATTACTAGTACATGTAGTGTGGGAAAACTACAATAATCAAAGTTATTCTTAAACTACAATTATAAGTGGCTTAATTTGTATGCTTGTAGTATGCATGACATCAATCTAAAAGTTTCACAATCAAGGAACAATGGCGACTTTAGTTATTTCTTTTCTTTTCTTTTGTTTATTATTATAGTTCATTTTGTCACATTTTTGCAACATATAATGGTAATAGACAAACATACATATGGGCATTATTAACATTGGTCGCCCGAGGCAACGAAACCCAACGGACCGGCCCTGGTCGTGGACAACCAGTTAAACCATGCTCGTGGAGCTTGTTTGAGCCCATAGAGAGATTTCTGAAGAACACAAACAGGATTCAGTTTGGTTGAGTCAATGAAGCCAAGAGGCTATCTCATGTAGATAGTTTCTTATGCTTATTACATACATTGTTTTGCTCATCAATTGCAATTGGCTCTAGTTACAATGTCTAAAGATGTGACCGAGGTACATAACTTCTTCGAAACTTTAAACTTTATAGTTAATGTCATAAGTTCTTCTTCCAAGCCTAATGATCAATTGCAAGATGCTCAAATTGCTGAAATTTCTCATTTAATTGAGGTTGATGAGATTGAGAGTGGAAAAGGAAAAAAGATCAAATACGAACACTACAAAGGCCTAAAGATTCTAGGTGGAGTTCTCATTTCAAATCAATATGTATTTTGATGAGAGTTTTTGGTCCATCTTGTGTAGTGTTGACTGACATTGCTACAAAAGGTTCTACTTCTTCTCAAAAAGGTGATGCAATATTTGCATTTAAACATGCAATGTCATTTGATTTTGTCATTTATTTGCATATTATGAAAGATATAATGGGGATAACTAACAATCTTTGCCAATCTTTACAACAAAAATCTATAGATATTATTAATGCATTGGCCTTGGTTTCCACAACAAAAATATTGCTTCGAAAACTAAGAGATGAAGGTTGGCAATCACTTTTAGATCAAGTGGTTTGTTTTTGTAAAAGAAGTGACATTTTGGTCCCTGATATGAATGAAACTTACAAATATGTAATTTGGACACGGCGTGATAAATACAATATCATTGCAGAGCATCACTACCGAGTTGATTTGTTTATTGTTGCTATTGACAATCAGTTGCAAGAGTTGAATTCTAGATTTAATGAGTCTGTAACAAAGCTTCTCCGTCTTAGTGTTGCACTAGATCCAAAAAGTCCTTGAATGTTGAAGATATGTGTAAATTGGCAACAATTTATTATCCTTCGAACTTTACAGAGCACGAAATTCATTTGTTGAAACTTGAGTTACGACATTATGAGTTAGATATGCACAGTCACCCATAATTGAAAAAAAAAATCTACACTTTCTGAGTTGTGTAGGGGTCTACATGAAACTGGAAAGGCAAGTACTTATCCTTTCTTTGACAGATTGATTCGCATTATATTGACGCTTCCCGTTTCTACTACGACATCTGAAAGAGCATTCTCATCAATGAAAATCGTGAAAACGCAACTTCGGAATACCATGAATGATGATTTTCTTAGAAGTTGTCTGATTATTAACATTGAGAGAGAGATTACTGATACATTTTCCACAGATAAACTTATAGATGATTTTTCTTCTATAAAGCAAAGACGGGCACAACTTAAAGTGAGAAAGGTACTATTTCTTATACTTTTACAAATTTTTATTTTTTAATTGTATTCTTCTCAATTGAAGATAATATCATATGTATCTATGTTCTAAGTGGTTCTTTTAATAATAACAGGTTAATGTATGTGAATCGGTGCTTATGATCATTTGAAAACTTTTAAAGATTGGTTCTTGCAAAGATTGATATAGTTCCTATTTAGACGATTTTTTTCTTTGTCAGTATCTCTTTCAATTCTATAGACTCGATTATGTTATTCGAATATTTATTTTTTAAATTTTTATGTAAGCCCTCCTTATCTTTAAATCTTTAAATCTTGGCTCCACCCATGCTTAAGTAGTATGAAACATTTATGTTGATTGCTTTTGTGTTTTAGTATTTTTTGATCTTACTAAATGTTTCACGGTCTCAATTGGTGAGAGGATCCTGCCAACTACATGTTTGGCTAATTGGAGCCTCCTCCATGGAAGTGTCGCCTAATGGTTAGTACCCCTAAATGTGTTCCTTAATAAACTGTGTTTTTTTGCCATTTTTCATTTAAACAATGTTATCGTTGATATTAAACATGTTTGTAGGATCTGTTGGCCGACAAATTACTTACACTATGGTATACATACAATAGACAAAGATGATGTGATACTTTGAGAACAACACTAAAAAGAATGATATATGAGGTTGTGATTCACTAAAATTTATCAAGTGATGTTTCAACCACTCGTTTGCTCATTAAATGTGCCTTGTCTATATAAAATCAGCTTAGCATATTTTATATGTAAGATTCTTTGTGCACAAGGCTTCCAATTTTTTTAAACGTTTAACCTGTATTCCAAGACAAAAAAAATTCCCTTCCAGAATCTTTCATCTCAAATTCCTTCATAATTCAGGTATTAAACTTCTTTAGAAGCTCGTTAGGAGTTCCAGTTGTATTCAAATCATCAAAATATATGGTAATTATAACAAATTCGGAATCAAATCTTTTTATAAAAATGCATGGCCAGATAGAACAACTTGTATAGCCTTACATGAACGAATATTCAACACGGTGATTGCATCCCAATTGACGTTGTTTTGATATATATATATATATATATATATATATATATATATATATATATATATATATATATTATATATATATATATATATATATATATATATATATATATATATATATATATATATATATATATATATAGGGTGAGTTTCAATAGAGAACCATAATTAACCAAAGAACCAAGGAATCAGTCTTTTACTTTTAAAACTTATTTTTTATTAAAAAAAAACTAAAAAA